AAAGGGAGGCTTTAGGAATGAAAAAATAGCAAGTAATTACTATTGTTTCCATTCATTGCTTTTCAATGTAATTCTTTGATGTCACTTGTACCTGATGATATGATTTTTTCCATTCATATCTGTGATTTGTAATCTTGACTTCAATTCAAACAAAAAAGAACTGATGTTCATACTAACCTTCTATACACAGCCACTTCCACTGGGAAACTGGATTTCGCAGCATATCCTGTCGCATCATGGTTCCTACAGGCAACTTACAGCCAAGACGGATGGATATGGCTTCATGTTTAAAACTATATAAAAAATAAACAAAAACACAAATTAAACTACTGCCTGTAAAACAAACAGAAACAAAATTCAAGATATGAACTCAAATGAACTTAACAATGAGCTCAAAAACAGTGTGACATCCTTGCTGACCAAATCACAAGTTAATCACAATTCCAACAATTTAACACTGAATTTGGGTTTTTAATAAACAACACAGCAGAAGCTAAAAAAAGTGCAGCCCAAGTTATGCATCAAGATTAAATAAGTGCACCATGCTTCTGTCTAAACACTTAAAAAGTCCTAGTGCTGTGAAACATACAAGACTCTATCACAGAGCAAGGCTTCAATTCATGTAAGAGTGAACAATAACTGCATTACTTTTAAAATAATACATTTATCTAGCCCAATTTCACACTGGACCTTTCTTTCAACTTTACACACGATTTCAGCAAATGTGAAACAAAAGCGGTTTTCTGTATCCAGGAACTCCTAGTGGAAAATGAGTATGGTACAGCTGACACAAAGACTAAGTACTATGACCATACATTGATATCAAGAGAATTGCAGTATATTTCGATTATACACATACTCAAACTTTTGTCCATAGTATTCCAGAAATCCAAGAAAAAGCTCTCCTAAAGTCTGCTTGTTGAGTGAATTAAAAGGTGGAAGGTCCTCTTCCAACCGTAAGGAAGTGATGTCAAGATCAGCAGAGAATTTGTGCTGAAACAAAGACATAATAAAGATTTTAAACATGGAACAACTGTGGGTTTTTTTTTCCAAACATGAATATTTTGCCCAAACAGAAACCATTATTTTGAGATTAAAAATTTAATGACTATTGTTTTTAATTCCTACATTACATGAAAGCGAGGTATCATTTAGGACAAATGGCAGCACCATTGCTCTGAACTTACTGCAAATTTCTGTTGCAAGCTTGGAATCACAGCAGGACTACAGCCACCTTTAGAATTAAAAACAATTCATGAGAACTTTTGAAAATCCAGCACTTTCCACTAAAATCTCATCTTGGTCGAATGACCTCTCAGAACTGCATTTTGCTCATCTGTCATTACAACCTTGTTAAAAGCAAATGGACTTCTAGTTTAATGTCATTTCGCTACATGACTAATGTAAAATTGTGAAAAGAAACAAACAAAATCATTGCACATAGACTCTGCTACATTTTTATAAATGAAAAGTGAAACCTTACATTGTAAGTAATGAAGCACCATAAGCACTAGGGAGAAACTAGAGATAGTGGCTTTGCTGGCATCATTGATGTCATGGATCTTTGCCCAGTGCTTGACAAACAGGACTAGGGGTTTCACACGCCAGTCAGCTGAAAATATTAACATTAAATAGAAAACCTCTTAATTCAGAACTGTTCCAGCACAAATATTGACTATTTCATTGGATGTGAACTATTAGTTTTCAGGAATTAAAAGAGTGAAACGTAGCAGATGTTTCAATGATTTTAGCATTCTCATGTTCAAATTACAGTGTCACAATGCCTGGTCTGAAGGTAAATCAGGTGCACATAATAGTTTTGTTCCCTACAAATTTATGGGTTACATCATATACTAGGGCTCAGAAATCCACATATTCTCATTCATTAATAAAGTTTTTTGTTTAAAATGATTTAATTAAAGAAAGTGCGCATTCAAAATTAATAAATATGTGGATTACATATTCACTGAAGACTTACCTTTAGAATATGCATGTAAAAGGTGTGTGTTTCTTATTCCTACTGCATTGTTGATATTGAGATCTACTTCAACACCACTAAAAAAAAGGTTTAAATGAAACTACAAGCAATACTATGGTACAAGAAATCACATGGCCACCAATGTGTCTTAAACACCTATGCAGTAGATCTTAAATAAAGAGCAACTGTGATTACTTTGACCTTTATCTTTTTCTCCATTATAATGTCCTAAGTGTTCATTTCCTTTTACCATGTGGAATTATCACTTACCTGATTTTATCATTGAACTTGAGAATAGGCACTTTGGCTTTAATTAACATTGGATTTTTGATGAAATCTGAAGAAAGAAGTAGTGCATGAATGCAGTGGCTTCAACAAACCAATACTGCATAATAAATAAACAAACAAACAAACAAGAAAGACAGAAAGAAAGGAAATGAAATAAAGACGAATGGCAAGATGCTGCTTGAAATTTCTGATGGAATACTGTTCATATAATTATATGAGAAAAGTGAACTGTCTGAAATTTGCAACTCTAAAAGAAATATAACATGGTTGCATAAGAATTTTGTTTGACATTCCAAGCTGTCCATCACAAGTACTGATATGAATAACTAACCACATTCTTTCAACGCCTTTAGTGCCAAGAGGAGAACCTCGGGAGCCTCAAACCTCTGATCAACCTAGAAATTCACAACAATATAAATGCCTTTCTGTGACAATATCAAGAAATATTCTGAATCAGTTTTAAAATAAAATGAAAAACATCACATAGTACAAAACCTACAATTTAACACATATTCAGTATCTAAAACTGAAACAAACCAATCCATATACAGCTGTTGGAGGCCAAAAAGGCTGCTGCAATCATTTTATGCTACAAAAAATATCTGACTCCATTGACATACCTCTCCATGGGTTAGCATAAGACACATATCCATGTCACTGTTATTGCTTCCAAACCCATTCATGGAAGAACCTACCACATAGAGACCACAATCTGAAAATAACAGAAGTCATTCATCATCAATATCAATACTGAAGAAATGACTGGATTGGAATTTTCCATGTCTCCTTTTTTTGAAAATTTCAACAAGATGACTTTTCTCCCTCTATACCATATATTTATAATGGGGCCCTTCTACTTACATGGAAAAACACCCTTTAGAATGGAATACAGAGCATCCCTGAGCATCATCTTCCTCTTAAAAATCTCTTCAGTTTGTCTCTTCTTCACACAGTAGTTCCATATCACCTGGGACATCTGAAATTAGTTACATTGTAGAGATTCTTGGATATTTCATTTTCTTTTCTTTTAATTTGGGACATATATTAAATGATTTACAAAGGGTAAAGACATTATTGCATTACCCTATGTGTAAAAATAATCTCAGATATGTATTATCACAATGCCAGTCAGATAATAAATAATCAGACTGTGTAAAGAATCAACTTAGATTAACATGATAGAGTGGTCACCAATTCCTAGCAAACTGGACCATTTGATACCTCATCAAACTTGTATCCTGGTGGGGGGGTAGGTTTGATGCAAGAGTCAGCTGACTGGTCATCTTCAGTGGACGGTGATTGGCCAGATTTAGTTCGCTTCTTTGGTACATCGCGACTCTGAGCACTTGGCCTTTCATCACTGTCATGATTGATATCTAGCTGCCTCCTAAAAAGAAATGTATCTTAACAATAAACAATTTATTCTAGAATATCAAGAAAGACTGAGACAATGATTTGGTAACATGAATCAAAAATAGGGTCCATGAAAGAACAAAATTTAATTTCAAGATTTGAAAATAAAACCAAAATAAAACAGAATAATGTAAATAGTAAAATGTTATTTCATGTTTGTGAAGTCATATGCTGCAGCACAGATCAAAATAAAGTTGTTGTTAGAAAAGATACATATGAATGTCACTTAGAAGTCAAATATTTGACTCAATACTTACTTCACACCTTTTCTGTCAGATGCTTTAGATGACCTTGGCAAACTATTTCCTTTTGTTTCCTGGTGATAAGAATGACGTCTTGGGGGAGTTTTGGGTGGAGTTGTTTCATTACGATCACAATTTGACTGCTGTTTTCTTGAAACTCTATAGTCCATGGAAGAGCTTCCGCCCCTTCTACCATTTCTGGCATTTGAGTCACTATGATAAGACCTATAAGACCCATGACTTTGCTGACCATATCTATGATCTCCTGGTATGTTAGAGTTCATCAATCCCATAAATCGCATGTCCTGGAACGTGTCTGTATTTGGTGTCTGTGGGGTAAGTCTTAGTATTGTACTGGCAGCTGCTAGTTGGTTGTTCAGCCTTTCTTGTCCCCAAGAGATCTGAGGTAAACAATTCATCTGCTGCAGGCTTCTGTTACTAAATTGGGCAAGCTGTGACATTAAGTCCGATGTACTTCCACTATTCATTTGGTGAAGATTTGTGTTATTATGAGCCATGATCTGGGAACTTGGGTAAAAAAACTGGGCCATTTTAAATGTAATGCACTTTGTAAATGAACTTGCACTTATCTGAAATGGCCTTTCAGTCAGATACGTAAATTGATTGATAAAATTTAATTGGCGTCTTCTAGTTATCTGGCAAAACAGAGGGAAGTGGCAGAGGTGCTTGCACTTGTTCATGAAGATCACTCTTTAATTTTGCTTTAAAGTCAAGGAAGGGCGGCTTACATCTGAAATAATAAAAACTAGTGATAAGTTTGTTCCAGTTTTATGCATCAAGCACTTTCATTCACATTTTCTTGCATTATGTCAGTGAGAGACTTGGAGGAACCAAATGACCCAGGTAATATCACTGTAATGAAAATCATTGAGTGAATTCAGTGAAAAGATATTCTCAAGGCCTGTCTCAACCTGCTGGATATAATCAGTCTTTTGAGTGTACAAGATTGGTGGATAAGAGATAAAGGTACTCTGGAGTTGAAGCATTGATGATTAAAAGTTAATGTGCACCTCATCCACTGCTACTCTAACAGTAACACCCTAGGAGCCCAAGGCTTAAAATATGATTCATAAGTTTGTAAACTTTATCTAGACTACATGGTAATACATATGTTTTAAAAGCTAAAGACTGGTGTCACTGCAGGAAACTCCTAGTTCACTTTTTTGCCAATGTTGTTATAAAACACTTTGTTTTAAAAAGTTAAATTTGAAGTTAAGCATTCTCATCTAATATCAAATAATGGTTTTTCTGATCTTTTCTAGTTGCAATAATGGTGCTGAAAAATACACCTCTAGGCCATTTACAGCCAGGAAGAACGGCACTATAACTGCTAATAAATAGTGGGGAATTTGTAGTTGTCGCCTTTCAGAGGTATATCAGGTATATAATTAAAAAGAGGATTAAGCGCTTAGAAGTTAGAGGTGCTAACGTGTTAATTGTTAGTTGATTTAACTAGACCTTTTTGGAACATGTGGTCTGTGTAGCTTGAACAAGTCAAATAAAAAATATAATATCACAAATTAATGTATGGTTGTGTTTATACTGCTGTGGAGAAATTTTGAACAAAATATCTTTGATAGAAATGCACTGAACCTACACTGATCACCATCAAAAGTCTGATGCTGCGCTAAAATAATTGTTCATCCCTGCTCACTTCTCCCTGTTCTCAGCCGCATGCGCTCGACGTCATCAATCTTTGTGCTCTGCCCTCAAATGTGCTGAAAAATGTGACGTAATTCGCATGCTCGAAACAGAATGGCGTGTCAAGGAGGATGAACGCGAACGTTTTATTCGAAAAACTGACTTGGTTGCCGTGGACAACAACGCGCCGTTGAACTTGTTTGTAGTTTATAAAACTTTCACTAAGGCTATATTGAAACCAATTTGTGAGAATGAGCGTAGATGCGTACGGTCCAAGCTCTCAAACCTTGACCTTTTTGGACACAGAAGAAGCGGATCTCCTGGGTGCGGATACTCAAGGGTCTGAATTCGATTTTACAGATTTTACCTTACCATCGCAGACCCAGTCACAAACTCAGGCATCTCAGCTAGATGGAGGTCAAAGCCAAAGTCAGGTAAGGCTGCTCATGCCTATTTTAATGTATTTATTAAAAGAAGAACTGAAACCGGAAGTTGTGAAATGTGGCATGGTCGAAACTTCCCCAATATTTTAGCAGCTAAGTCAACTGTGAAGAGAAAGGTTTTTTGGAACCCGTTTGATTTCGTTATCAGAGCAGAATTGCCTTGTTGAAGTAAATAAAAATATGCGAAACCAGCGTGCACGAAACTGTTATGCAAGCCATTATCTCTGTGTAGTTCCCATACAGATTACAGAAATTGATCATCATACTACACATTGATACAAGAATGATACAACATGAACCGAGTAGATAAACTGTAAGGAGATATGGGATTTTTGAAATTTGTTGGTTTTTGGTATCACTGCAATGTTGTGGTATGTAAGTGAAATTATGAAAAAATTTATCTGGCGTTTGCCAAATTCTCTTACCCCTCTGCTGGAAGTTGTGAAACATGATGAAAAGTTTTCTTACTACTTTGGCACAAGAGATTTTTGGCAGATTTTTTTTTACCTTTACAAGCGTAGCAGTTACCGTATGTTATGTTAAATCTTCAAAATATTTAATAAAACTGTACAGCAGGTATTTTGTGTTTAACTCATCACTGTTTTTGGAGAAGTTATGAAACAATTGCAAAATCACAAAATCTTATCTGAGAACAAAAATGGTTACTATAATCCAAGGTACATACTTTGATTTCCTCTAGGCTTTGGGCATTGAACCTGTCCAAAATGGCATTGGAGGAGTTTCCCAAGGTATTGGGGAGCTGACATTTGAAGATGACGAGGAAGATGCATTTTATATGAAAGATTTACCAAAGCATGCTTGCATGTAAGTAGTTGAAATAATACTACCACATTGCTTCACATGCCTACTGGACACATATTATTTATACAGTTTCACAACTGTGTTAAAAACCCCTTATCCAGTAGTGTGATTAAATGTAGCTAAGCTTGATAGGCATCTAATTTAGCTAAAGCCAGATTGATTACTTTTTATCCATTGGATTATGGGATGAAAACCTTCTGTGAGTTACAATGTTCAAAATAACACTGTAGTTGGAAAATTTTTCTATATAATTATTTCTATATAAGAAATCATAGTAGAAAAAATACAACCATTTCTGTTCAAGAAATCGTATAAATATTAAAAAAGCCAAAATATGAGTCCATGGTTTAAATTAGCAGCAGCTTAAAGTTGATATATCTGATGCATGCAACAGGTACTGTGGTATCCATGACCCAGCATGTGTGGTATACTGCAATATGACCAAGAAGTGGTTCTGTAATGGAAGGGGAAATACATCTGGCAGGTATGTATTTTTGTAAAGGTCACAGACACTTATTTACAAATTATTATTTTCAAGACAAACTCCTTGATAAAAAAAAGCCACAATGTTCATTTCAACTCTTTTCTGATCATAACAATCACCTCTCTAACACCATATTTTTTCATTTCTATATTTTTTACAAAATAAAGTTAATTGTTTGCTAGTATTAAGTGTGTGTCAACAAAAAATTAATTTTTTTAATTACCATTTTAGCAATGGATCATAGGGAAAGATCAAGTTGCTTATGACATTTGCTGTAATCCTGTGGTTTATTCTATTTGCAGTCATATCATAAACCATCTAGTACGAGCCAAGGCAAAGGAGGTTACACTGCACAAGGATGGACCACTGGGGGAGACTATCCTAGAATGCTACAACTGTGGCTGTAGGAATGTATTTCTCTTGGGTTTCATACCTGCTAAGGCAGACTCTGTGGTGGTACTGCTGTGTAGGCAGCCTTGTGCCACACAGAGCAATCTAAAGGACATGAACTGGTCAGTACCCATGAATTTTTATTAAATAACTATAAGTTTTTTTTTCCTTATACTTGGTACAGATTTTTTTAGTATATGTTAAAAGAAAAGATGAAACAATGAGCACATTTTTAAATGCTTTTATTTTGCTTTGTACTTTGAAGTAAAATCTGCTTTTATGTTCACTAAAGGGACCCAAGTCAGTGGCAACCTCTGATTCAAGATCGTCAGTTCCTTCCTTGGTTGGTGAAAGTTCCATCTGAGCAGGAGCAGTTAAGGGCACGTCAGATCACTGCACAACAAATCAATAAGCTAGAAGAGCTTTGGAAGGTATTTACCTTTGTAGAGGACATAATTTGGTGGTTTAGTTTATTTCACTTTGTATAGGGGACATAGCTTGATGATTCATGCATAGGTGAAACTTAAATATATTTGATTTTTTTAATTTGCTTACTACTGTTTTAACGTCACTTGTTTGTGATATGGAGAGATTCATTTCTTTGTATTTAGGACAACCCAGAGGCTGCCATTGAGGACTTGGAGAAACCTGGAGTGGATGAGGAACCATCCCAAGTACTGCTAAGGTTAGCATGTTTTTATCAATCATTCATAGATTAACTGTAAACAATGGAAAGTTTGTACTACCAATGGGTATGTTTAAAATTGTTTTCAAAATTCTGGAGATAACTTATAAAGGTAGGTGTTGTAATAAATTTTGATGACCCTGAAGAATTTCTTTGATTAAATTTTTTTAAAAGTTTTTTTTTTACAGGAAAGCTTGTTTTGTTTATTTATGTTGATTAATTATGCATCTGTATAGATATGAGGATGCCTACCAGTACCAGAACATCTTTGGACCGCTGGTGAAACTGGAGGCAGACTATGACAAGAAACTGAAGGAATCGCAGACTCAGGACAAGATCGTGGTTCGCTGGGATGTTGGCTTAAACAAGAAAAGGATTGCTTACTTTGTGTTTCCCAAGGCTAATGAAGGTATTGTTTGCTTTGTTGATAGTTATCCTATTAGACTGACAACATTGGATATAATTTCAGCAATCTTTTTTTAATTTTCTTGCAGCTTTTGGTGATAGCTTCATGGTGGAATTAATGTAGTTTTTTGTCATTAAGAAAACAAAACAACTAATCAATAATTAAAACAGTTCTGCAAATCTGAAATCCATAGAAAAAGTTAAGATCAGTGAATCATATCATTATTTCAGAGATGAAACTGATGCATGGAGATGAACTGCGCCTCAGGTACTTGGGAGAGATGCACAAGCCCTGGTCAGGAGTGGGCCATGTGATCAAGATTCCAGACAGTATCTTTTTTAACTGGGACTGAGCTTTACAATCAGCCAGTAATAGTTTGTTGTTCATAAGAAGTTGAACATCATGCACAAGCAACAGTAGAATAAGATCGCATTCACAATGAGTTGAGCCATGGCTTTACAAATCCTGGAACTAAATATGGTGGACGTACATGAAAGAAAAAACGCCAAATCTTTTAATAGTCTCTCCGCCTCTCACACGCCTCCCCATGTGTCGTCCCAATGGAGCCGAGATTTAATGACTGTACCCCCGCAGGGACAACGCATGGGGAGGCGTGTGAGAGGCAGAGAGGCTATTAAAAGATTAGGCGGTTTTTCTTTCATGTACTCCGCCATATTTAGTTCCAGGATTTGTAAAGCCATGGCTCAACTGTGAATGCGATCAAAGTCATTCAAATGACATAATTTATATCCTTTAAATTAAAATGTGTTGAAAAGTTATATTTCTTTTAACTCTGGAACAGACTTCAGTGAAGAAGTGGCCATAGAGCTGAAGAGTAATGCTGGTGTACCTGCTGAGTGCACACACAACTTTGTGGTGGATTTTGTGTGGAAATCCACTTCATTTGATAGGTATGTGTACAGTTGCTACATGAGAGAACCAACTGATAGTCTGAAACAGGCTAAGTAGTGGTATTTGTTAAGTGAAAAAGGTGTGATAGAAAACTTAAGCCCAGTTCCAGATTATAATTATACATAGAGCAAGTTTGTTTTTACAGTGCATAATATCTTGTTTCTTTTATTCTTTCAGAATGCAGGCATCTCTGAAGACATTTGCTGTGGATGAAACCTCTGTGTCAGGATACATCTACCACAAGTTGCTGGGACACGAGGTGGAGGATGTGGTGATCAAATGTCAGCTGCCGAAGAGGTTCAGTGCCCCAGGACTCCCTGAGCTCAACCACTCCCAGGTTTATGCTGTGAAGACTGTGCTGCAGAGACCATTGAGCTTGATTCAGGTACATAGTTTGCAAATAGGATAGGGATTATAGATGAGTTGTGTTTTTAGGACTCTCATATCTCTGCAAAGTCTGTAAAAATCTCAGTTGTTTATAACGTCTTGTAAGTATTCTTTCCTTCCTGTCTTGAATAATTTTCAGTACATAACCATGCCTATAAAAGAGTTTATAAAACTCAACCAAATTCATTTGGTTATTGATATTTTTGTAGGGTCCACCAGGTACTGGCAAGACTGTTACATCTGCAACAGTTGTGTATCACCTTGCCAAGCAGACCCAGGGGCAGGTTCTTGTCTGTGCACCTTCTAACATTGCTGTAGATCAGCTGACAGAGAAAATACACAAGACTGGTCTCAAAGTGGTGCGTTTGTGTGCCAAGAGCAGGGAAGCCATTGACTCCCCAGTGTCATTCCTGGCCTTGCACAACCAGATAAGGAACATGGAAAGGTATGGAGTCATTTCCAGTGGTAAATGATTTTCCTATTAGAACAGCAGTGTGTGTGAAAAAAAGGTGATCTATAAGGTTATGTGCTCACAGATGTGAATGACTTTGAAAATGTGCATGTACTATTGTAGCTTGGTTAAGGAATAAATAAATGGGTTTAGATATGGGACAATGCAAAAAGGATCCTATTATATTTAGAATCTTCCAAAATTATTCAAACTGTCCTTTTCTTATAGCGTGCCAGAGCTGTCCAAGCTGCAGCAGTTGAAAGATGAAACGGGAGAGCTCTCGGCTTCTGATGAGAAACGATTCCGCACATTGAAGAAGCAGTGTGAGAAAGAATTGCTGCAAGTAAGTCAATAGTGAGAAGTATCTCACTTTAAATTAATACACGTATGGTAAAAAATATATAGTTTGGCAGTTGACAGTCATAAGCTTCACAAAAATAAGGTGAGTTTTCTTTCATCTTTCAGCATGCTGATGTCATATGCTGCACATGCGTTGGAGCTGGTGATCCACGGCTGGGCAAGATGCAGTTCCGCTGTGTCCTGATTGATGAGAGCACCCAGTCCACAGAGCCGGAGTGCATGATCCCAGTGGTCCTGGGGAGCAGGCAGCTGATCCTGGTGGGAGATCACTGTCAGCTGGGCCCTGTGGTCATGTGCAAGAAGGCCGCCAAGGCAGGCCTGTCCCAGTCCCTGTTTGAGCGTCTTGTTGTGCTGGGGATACGTCCTATCCGACTGCAGGTGCAGTACAGAATGCACCCTGCCCTTAGTAATTTCCCTTCTAATATATTTTATGAGGGTTCATTACAGAATGGAGTGACAGCCGGTAAGGAACTTGAGATTTTCATTCCGAATGAATTATATATTTTTCAATATTTTTTCTTTTAGCTGAGGTCATTTGTATTGCTGCAAATACTATAAACCATTTCTGTTATAGTTAGATGTCAGGATGGTTGAAGAAATTTTGTGGCTCAATTTTAAAATGTGAAAATTGTCATTGCAGCTGAGAGAACTAAAAAACAAGTGGACTTTCCTTGGCCTCAGCCAGACAAGCCCATGTTGTTCTATGCCACTACTGGACAAGAAGAGCTGGCCTCATCTGGAACGTCCTACTTGAACAGGACTGAGGCTGCAAATGTGGAGAAAATTGCCACACGCTTTTTGCGTTCTGGTGTGAAACCTGACCAGATCGGAATCATTACACCATATGAGGGACAGCGGGCTTTTATATGCCAGTACATGCAGTTCAGTGGACAGCTACACCAGAAACTGTATCAGGTGGGAAATGGGTGGCTTTATCATATTTGAACCACCTTCAGTTCAGCTGAGAATCTGTCCAACATAAATTATCTCCAAATTTCTTTATTTTTCAGCATGTTGAAACAAAATTTTGCATTGTTGTTGTCAAGGCACAAATTTTAATTTTGATATGTATTTTTCTTGATGTAGAAGCCCTTATAATATGTTGCATAATGTAATGAATTGCTGATCAAAATTGATATTGTATCTACAGGAAATAGAGGTGGCTAGTGTTGATGCATTCCAAGGCAGAGAGAAGGATTTCATCATCCTTTCTTGTGTGAGAGCAAATGAACACCAGGGAATTGGATTCTTGAATGATCCCAGGCGTCTGAATGTGGCACTGACTAGAGCTAGGTAACTGAATTGTATAAGAAGATAAACTAGACTTTATCAAATTATTGTACCACCAGCGTTAGCGCTGGCGGTACACATGGTTTCGGTCCCGTCCGGATCGTTCCGCCGGCTCCGCCGGACGGCTACCGTTACCGCTTCTCCTCCTAGACGGTAAGGGCCCCCGTACCCATCTCATGGATTTAGGTCACCTATAATCTCAACTCGTTCCACGTAAAATTTGGGCTTTGTCGGTATTGGGGTCTGGGTGTGGCACTCATTGCAATGCACCCTTGTCTAAAAATGGCAAAATTAAATGCTAATTATCTACCCTACGGAAGGAGTTATGGGAAAAATTTCTATAGACGGCTTTCCAAAAGTCATATGTGTAGATTTCAAATATACCCT